TTATATAAGTATATTTTCCCATTCAACCTTTTTTTATACAGGTTAGTCTCATTGAGCCAGGATGACTCACTTACAAGAGAGACCTGTTTTAAACAAAGAACACAGATGAGATACAAACAACAACATACAATCATACAAAGCATATGAAATGAAAAAGTAAATAGAATAAATAAAATATAAATTAACAAAAGCAGCCATATTGGATTTGGATGTAACCACAGACCACTGAGACCATTGCAATATAGAGCGGCAGGGGGAGCAGATGTGGGGGTTAAGAGCCTCGTTCAAGTGCCCAGAGTGGGGCAAATGAAGGTGGAGGCAGGTGTTGGGACTTCACCTTTCCCACCCACATTTTGATATAATAGTCAGGGGATTCAAACTGTTGGAGTTTATATCACAGTCTCACCATCTCTAACCACTGTTCCACCACTCCCTACACACCTAAGCTTAAACTTCTCCTTTCACTGGGCTGGTTTTGAGAAAATATATGAAGACAAGAAAGACATTTTTGTTTTATATTATTTTAAACATAATCCTAATATGTGACATTAATTTCATTCTATTCTATTATATTCTAATTTAATTCCCTGACCAAAAATGCTATTTCCTCAGCTTTCAGAGAAGGTTGCTGGTGATGTGAAACACACAAGGCAGCCTCTGACGACTGAACTGAGAGATGGATTGCACCTCAATTGCCCCTGACACCAGCCTATAGAAATTCTGGTGCACGGCTTACCGTGTGTGTGAGAGATGTGCATCAGACCTGCTCACTTACTCTGTCAACACAAGGGTGTAGAAATGTAAAAAGGAAACATTTTGTTTTGGCTCTCTTTCATTCCTATACTAACAAGTAGCTCATTATGCCCATAAAGAATCTGTATATATATATATATATATATATGAAACTATGTTATTGTGCGTTTCAAGTAGCAAAAGTCTTGCACCCCCCTGACGTAACCAAAGCCCCATCCGTCCATTATCTTTACCCACTTTTCCTTTTTGGATCACGGGGTCACTGGTGCCCATATCCAAAAGTCAGAGTATGAGAGGCAGGGGAGACCCTGGACAGGTCACAAGTCCACCACAGGGACACATAGACATATGAGACAAACAACCATTTGTACTCTTACTCACACCAAAACCAAAGAAGTTTAATAGAATAATTTTGTTTTTAATTAGGAATATTGTCATTTTCTGACAACATGCACTGTAATCTTAAGGCACTATTTAAGAAGAAGGAAAAAAAAAAAAGCTATATAAACTTTGTTATATGCTTTTTTCATTTTTATTTTTAAGCAAATTAAATAAAATCCTGTCAGAAAGCGAAGTGGATAAATCAGCTACAATATAATTAAAATCTAAAAAAAAAACAACAAAAAAAAAAAACTGAACAATACTCCAACTATCAGAGCTGGAACTATAATAATCCTTATGCTCTTGAACACTGAATTGGGGTTTATAGTTTTTTTCAACAAAGACATAACAAATTAAACAACTCTTTCATTTTAGGTGTTCTTTATAGAAAACAGAGGACAAGAAATACCAAGAAGAGAGTAATGGGCAGAAAGAACACCACAGTGATCAAACCAATGGAAAAAAAAAAAGAAAAAAAAAAGAATCAGATGTTATCAGTTGGTTTAGTTCAATACGACTCTGCACTCATTTAGCATAATCTGGATTATAATGTTCCCTTCTCTCTGTGTTTGATGAAACTTTGAATGTAAATGCAAAGCTGTTATTTCCCTGCTTGACATCAGCGTGTCGTGGGCTGGTCATCCTATGTGGTGCACCGATGTTTCCTCCAAAGTTGCTGTGAGCAGAAACGCGCGTGGATTGACGCGGATGCAGACAGAGGCGCTGTCCGTGGTGCTGCATTCCGCCCCTCCCCGGCAGACTGCGCGGACAGACACGTGATAAACGCTCTCCGTGGCTCGTGACAGTCGCTGGATAAACTCAACAGGGAAAGCAGATTGCGCCTCCTCCTCCTCCTCCTCCTTCTCCTCCTCCAGGAGAACTGGATATTCTCCGCTGGTTTTGGCACCACAAGCCTCCAAGTCGTTTTCTCTTCTGTTTTTTCTGTTCACTTTCATGGCAAACACATTTGGAGGACATTTTTTTTTTTTTTTTTTTTTTTAATTCCAGGTAATTATTTGTTCTAGCCCTAAGCTTGTAGTTCCCGTCTTCATTTTTCTTAGAGTTGGAAAGTGGACCCTTCTCTCTCTGACTGCTGCTGTGATTCACTTGAAGGCAGATCTTCACCAAAGAGGATTTGAGGCTTTCCATAAATATGGACGGTGCTGGTTATTAGGAGCTCATTCCGCGTGGCTTGAAATAGTTTTTTTATTATTATTTTTTTTATTTTATTATTACTCTTTAATTGAAGCAGCTGTTCTGGGTCGGGTATACGTGCACGCGCAAAGGTAAAACAAACAGCGGAGGAAAAAGAAGGCATTTCATGGTGAAAAGAGTAGCGGATCCTGCAGATATGGACTTGATAAGAAATTCTAATTTTATATTTTGACTGAAGCCATGCAGACGCGGAGGTATGAGGTGATAGAAGTGATGAGATGAAGGAGAACATACGAAACTGTTACGTTGTGGCCAAATTCGGATCATTTATATATATATAAATATATATTTTACGCGTATTGGTGACATTTACTGTTTATCCGCGTGTTTATTTGGATGTTTAAGTTGATTTAGTGTGCATGCGCTACAGTAACGCAAGTCTACCTCTGCAAACTGGACAGTTGTGTTTTTGTTTGTTTCATTTTTGAAATGCAATAACTGCGGATGCTTCGAGTTCCTTTCTTCATCTATTATTCAACTGTATTTTAATTTAGGAGGAGAGAAAAAAAAGGGAATCGTCTTATAGCACTTGTGGGGAATAATGGGAGAGGGAAAACGGGGCTTTGAAAAGCGCATTCGTGGCTGTCCGGATGTGTTCGCCTCACACAAACCAACCATTGTGAATCAAATGACGCACTTTTCCTCATTTTCACACTTGAGCTCAGGGCAGAGCATCACTGTTTGCTGGGAACACTGGTGCAGACTCTGTTTCATCTGAACCAGAAAGAAACAGCACCTCGGTTTTGTTTTTTCCATCTCACTCTTTATAAATTCATGTTTTATATGGTTTTGGGAAAGTGGGCTACTAAATGAATTAATTTCCACCACGAGATATCTCAGCTTCCGAGCCCCCATCCCCACTCATATATCCCATGTTAGTTATTAATGATCATTATTATTTGTGTAATCATTCAACAATGACTGCTTCCATAAAATACTGCACCGTGCACTGAAGTTATGAGTTGTAGATGTAATTGTCAATTGAGTTTTTAATTTGAAACATACCAGCATTTGTCTTTTCTTGACCTGTGTTCACTCACTGATAAATCTATGGGAGCGATGAAGTGCCTGTTGGATTTTGATAATATTATTCTCATCATTAGTGATACTATTATCATTAATAGTAACAATCTATGAAGTTAAAGGACAATGCTAGAAAAATAGTACTTGGCCACTGAGATTAAGCAGTGTATGATTGTTAGGAGCTTCCTGGTAATAGTGTGATACAGCTGGTGTTTGTTGTAACAAAGGCCTCTGTAACTCTAAGGAGCTGATGAGCTCTGCATCCATTTTAATCGCAGTATTAGTCTAATTCTTACTTTAAGACGTTGGCTAGAGTGGGTTTTGGATTGGATGTGTTAAAAGCACCAATAGTTGTAATAAATGTGCTTTTTTTTATTTGTTCACAGGGTGTGTTGAGACCGAGGACTGACAGACAAACTGTTTCTTTCGCACAAGCTTATCAGCCAACGCGGCTCCCTACGGCACTTTTCCCTCTTTGCTGCCAAGGATGTGGGGTGAAAAGCCCTGAGCAAGGCTTCCAGTGACTCGCCAAAGAATATCAGCCTGAACATGAAGATTAAAGCTGCCATTTCGACTCAAGTGAAACCGTGCAAACATTAACTGGCACTAGAACGAACTGTTTCATAATTACATAAATAATACTAAGTGTGCCTGGTGGATATTTGGGTTTCGGTTGCTTTGCTGCAGCTAAGTATGGCTGAGAGGACCTTTGAACAGTTCAAACCCTGTTGGCGGGTTTGAACAGAGTTTTGGCCACCGGCCTGGACAGCATGAAGTAATGGTGTTTGGTCCAGGAAATAAGTGTTGGCTACACCCGTTCCTATGCAAATCTTTGCTAACAATTCATCTTTTCTTTTACAATGCAGCACATTACACTTGCATGCCAATCTAGACAATCAGTTCTTTGTCATCCAACTCTTATAATAAACTCAAGATACTTGTTTTACAATCAGACTTTCTATTAATTCAAAAACAAGTAAGCCTACCTGCAGCTTTTTGCAATTGCACAATGGTTGTACAAAAGCTACACAGCAGCCATTTCATTTTGGTTGGCCTTCTCATGTGCTGCTTTGTGGAAATAGGCACCTGTTTGGAGTTTACAGGTGCTGAGGGGCAGTGGGCAAGGTTCTCAGTTTGGAATGCATGTTGTGAAAGTGAAATGAGCTTCAACATGAAAACAAAAAGTTCCCAAGGGCTGCTGGTTTACTTCGACGATGAGGGGTTTTGCGACTTTTTAGAACTTCTCATACTGAACGGCAAGCTCAGCCTCCGCTTCTCCATCTTCTGTGCCGATCCGGCGACCGTCGTGTCGGACACGGCGGTCAACGACAGCCAGTGGCACACGGTCACAATAAGGAGAAACTTTAAGAACACAACCCTTACAGTGGACAATGAGATAAAGTGGGTGGAGGTGAAGTCAAAGAGACGAGACATGACTGTCTTCAGCCCGTTGTTTGTGGGTGGAATACCACTGGAGTTAAGGTCCGTGCCGCTGCGCCTGACATCAGCTGCAGTCAAGGATCAGCTGTCTTTCACCGGATGGATAACCGATATAAAAGTCAACAACACAGAGTCTGAAATGATCAACAGTGAGGGGGTCCGAGTGGACATCTGCGGGAGAGCCAACACGTGCTTAAATGGAGGAATCTGCACTTTAATTAACAACAAACCAACATGCGACTGCTCACACACAGGCTTCCAAGGGCAGGACTGCAGTGAAGGTAAGGACTGAACTGTTTGAAACACAACATGGCTTTTGCAGGCAACATAAATTATTCTTTCAAACTCCGTTACTTTGCTGTAATCACAATTAGCTAGAATTTAATGCATTCCCTACCTCTGTCTGTGCTAGTCTTACAACGTGCGCTATTGATCTGCAATACAGTTGTTTGTAAAGAGCGAATCTCCTGCAAGGCCTCATTAGCAAAACATGCAGGTGGTTTCATCCCCAAAGGTGTCCTTCATTCTTATCAAATAGGCCTGTTGGGATTCGTTGACCTATGACAAATCTCCCAACGGGTTAGCACAAATGAAAGAGCAGGAGTAATCATTTACGAGTCAAATGGAGTAAACATGAGCGATCTCACCGTCTCTGTAGAATGGATTATAAGAGGTGGCAACAACAGAGCACTCAGATACTAACAGTGTACGGATTATGGCTCTGTTTAGATAGATTATGGCGTTTGCAGTGATACACATATTTATTTGTATGGCTTACTGTTCAAACTTGTACCTAAAACTTTGATTTTTACATAAATTATTAAAAAAATGAAATTAAAAAAATGTAGATGCGGAAACACTGAGTCACATATTTTTGACTAGAACTGAAAAAAACACCCAATGTTGTAATTCAAACTCCCCCCAAAAAAGTTGGAATACAATGTCATTAATAAATAATAAAACTATCTGAGATCCAGGAAATGTAAACACAGAGTTTGCTCACATTAGTTAAGCAACAAGTATAAAATTACCCTGACATGCAGTCAGGATGTTTTTATATGTTGTATTGTATTAAAACATAACAGTATTTAATAAAGATACAAAATGGGTTTGGTAGTGGTGCCTTTACTCCTTTTTGTTTATTTAATTAGTTTAATTTTTATCCATGTTTAAATACTGGTGGACTTTCTGTTATTATTTAACTGACTTTTTAATTGACAGACACTACCTGCTACTTAAATTTATTTATTAATTAAAACTTATCGTTATGCACTGATGCAACAAAAATTGCAGCTTTAACGCCCTATCAGGCTGACAACATTGGATATTTGTTCAGTATTAGGTATTAATTATTATAAGCCTCTCTTCATCAGTGTCATGTAGTAAGTTGTGATGTGATTCAATCTGAATTAGACTATTTGGATTGTGTCAATAAATCAATGAATGTACTCGGACTTGTCATTGTGATGGTAATCGTGTCTTTCATCCCACATCTTAAAGAATAATGCCTGCTACGAAGAAGCTAAAAGATTGCTTTATTTTGTTCAGTGTTAGTGTAATGTTTGCTGAAAGTTACCTTGAATTTAGATTTATGTTTTTTTTTGTTGCAAAACATATATAGACAAAATATGAGGAAGACATTAATATTTTGAAATTCTTTGACAACTGTCCAAGCACATTTCCTTTAACACTCATCACTACTAATCAATTGACATAAGAAAACCGTAAATTGATCAATACTGAGCATTTTATTTCATTTAGCACAGTTTAAAGTTTATAAAGGAAATTGCCACGTGTAATAAAATATGACTGGTCGTTTTTGGCATGTTAATTATGTGTTTGTAGCTGAGGTGTCATCATTTTTCCATCAGTGTTACAGATATTCACTTATCTATGAATTAACCAGTTTATAGGATAATGTTTGAGCAATAAAGTAGAGTATGCTGTTATTAGAATGAATAAAACGTAAACTATAATTGATCAAATGGACCTGCTAATTAACAGAATTCATGACAGTGATCCTATAATAGCTGTTGTATCGTAGTAAAAGCAACTTTGACAAGTTAGCACTATCTGTAAACAGCTAGTTGGGATGGTTATGAGGTGTATTAATGGGACACACTCTCACTTGATAAATACCCATTGAATGCCACTTTTACAAAATGGTTTAGAAACTGATTGGATAGTTTATTTAGTCAATTTGAAGAGGTTCGGTGACAAAAGAGTCATCTTGAACTCATTCTGTGCACAGAAATGTGCATCTGTTCTCTCATTTAATTTATTTTCAGTACAGCCCCACCTCACTGACCTGATTACAAGCAAGCGCGTTGCACTGATGTCGCTTCTCTCCTTGCATTATGTTTCCAAAACTGAATGGTGGATTTATGCAAAATCTACAGTCAGAGAATATTCTCTTAGATGGTTTATTTACTTATTTCCAAGACCATCAGAAATGTGTGTGAGGGAGTTTCAGGAGACATTGTGTTGCATCTTCATATTTGTTTACTGTCATACATGAAATAGAATAAAGTTGGCCATTGTAGATGAATGCATTCCTGACAGTTTGATTTACAGAAGAAAAAAAATGTATTTGTCATTTAGTCTCATATTCAGCACGAAGTAGATCAATTTGGAAACACAGTTTGCACTTGTTAGCTTTTATGTTGCAGCTGTGTGGTACAGAGCAGGTAGTGAACAGTGAGATAAAAAACAACAACTTGACATTCTACTGTTGAAATGGGTTGACTATAAAATGAAAAAAAAAAAAAAAAAAAAAAAATAGTGACATAACACATAGGACTTGTTGGTGCAGCCAGAAATATCTAATAAAAATTGTGCTGAAAATGTTCGCTTGCCAAGAAAAACTGTAGAGTTTATGCTACAAAGTCCTTAACATGATCTATATAGAAGTTTGCTGCTATAAAACTTGTAATAATATATACTCTTCTACTTCCCTTGGGTCAAAATGACCCACAAGGCCTCAGTTTTAAAACTAAGGCCTGTGAGCCACTTTGACCCAAGGGCTGCATGAGGGTGAAACTTGTTAAACTATATTTGAAAGACAGATGACTTGAACTGGCATTTAATATCCAATGAGTTCCTCTTATGGCCCCAAAAAATGTTTAAATAAGTTGTTCATATCCATCCATCCATTATCTTTTGCTTATTCCAAAGTCAGGTTGTGGGGGCAACAGCTTGAGCAGGGAGAAAAGAGGATGTCTGGACATCTCTTTCCACAGTCACCTCTCCCAGCTCTTCTAGGAGGACCCCGAGGCGTTCCCAGGCCAGCCTAGAGACACAGTCTCTCCAGTGTGTCCTGGGTCTTCCCTGGGGTCTCCTCCCAGTTGGACATGCCTGAAACACCTCCCTAGGGAGGTGCTCAGGAAGCAACTTTTCCAGATGCCCAAACCACCTCAACTGACTCCTTTCGATGTGGAGGAGCAGTGGTTCTACTCTGAGTCTCTCCCTGATAACTGAACTCCTCACCATATCTCTAAGGAAGAGTCCAGCTACTCTGCGGAGGAAACTCATGTAATCTGCCTGTATCCATGATCTCATTATTTCAGTCACTACCCAGAGTTTGTGACCATAAGTGAGGTTAGGAACATAGACCAACCAGTAAACAGAGAGCTTTGCCTTACTGCTCAGCTCTCTATTCACCTCAATGGACTGGCACAGTGTCCGCAATACTGCCAACTTTGCCCCAATCCATCTGTCAATCTCACACTCCATTCTTCCCTCTCTCGTGAACAACACCCTGAGATACTTGAACTCCTCCACTTGAGGCAGAACCTCATCCTCGACACAAAAAGAGCAATCCACCCTTTTCCAGTTGAGGACCATGGCCTCAGATTTGGAGGTGCTGATTCTCATCACAGCTGCTTCACACTCAGCTGCGAACTGCTCCAGTTAGAGCTGGAGATCACTACACAATGACGCCAACAGGACCACATCATCTGCAAAGAGCAGAGATGGAATCCAGAGGCCACAGAACTGGAATCCCTCCGCCCCCTGGCTGCAGCAATAAATTATGTCCATAAAAGTTATGAACAGAATCAATGACAATGGGTAGTCCTGGCGGAGTCCAACTCCCACCTTGAAGGGGTCTGACTTAAACTGGCAATGTGAACCAAACTCTCACACTGCTTGTATAGGGACTGAATATGGAGCACCCCCCACAGTGCACCCCGAGGAACACGGTCGAAAGCCTTCTACAAGTCCACAAAGCACATGTAGACTGGATGGGCTAACTCTCTTGAAGTTGTTGAGATAAAAAAAAAAGAAAATACCTATTGCTAAATATGTATTAGTCATGTATTTCTGAAAAAATAAATAAAACAGAAGAAGAAGCTTGCAATTGCTAAAACATATTTTAATTGCGTTCTGTTTTGCTTGGCAGGAAAGCAAAATCCTGTAGAAATTTCTCGACGTTTGCCTTTTGTTTTAGTGAAACCATTGTTCGTGCAAATCTTGTTGCAAGAACAAGGTTGCTTGCTTTTATCTTTTCTGAACATCTTGAACTGCACTGAGACTCAAAATCTACATGAAATATCTGCAAAATTGTTTCCAATCACAAGTGTGATCAAAGCTGTTTTTATCTGCCAGGACATCTCTTGAATTGATCGACCATTTGGGGGAAAAAAGCAACATTTAAATACAAACACTGCCACAAGTCTCCTCTCATCTCTTGAACGTAAATGGAATCTAATGTTCGTACGCAGTTTTAATATAAAGAACATTGAAGTTTAAAACGTTTCCTTCCATTAAATAATTTTAAAACTGTTTTGTTACTCTGATCAGATGAGAGGATTAGAGGATTTGCCAGCAGATCTGTCAACTCTTCTGCAAGCATGCACATTGCATGATGTTGCACACGACCACACACAGACACACAAATCCCTCTGATCAGTAAAACAATTATTTAAATGCACTGCCCTATGTTCAGAAAGTTCCCAGAATCTGTCCTTTTGTTTCTCATTAGAGAAATAACACAGATACACTGGGCAGCTCCATATTTTATCCTGATCCAATGGAAAAAATGTTGTTTATCTTCAACATACAGCAGCCAAGCATTAATCATTGTAGGTGAGACAGTAGGCCAGATCTCAGCTAAGACTTATACAGTTTTTGATTTATTGTTATTATTTTTATTAGGTGATTAATTAAATACATTGCAATTGCTGTATCACCTTAAACTGTATTTTATAGACAGCTTTAAGGACCTTGTAATGATGTACATTTTACCAGTGATTTCACTTAATACAAGAGTTGTACAATATGT